TTTTAAATTTACATTTTGATACCCCAAAATTAATTTTAATGTAAAATCATTGAACAATTATATTTTGGTATATAAATTATATTATATGTAAACGTAAAGTTCAATTTGCATTTTGATACCCCAAATTTAATAAATCACAACTTAGTCACTATAATGTACATTTTACATTTTGATACCCCAAAATTAATTTTAATGTAAAATCATTGAACAATTATATTTTGGTATCTAAATTATATGAGATTTTCGTACCTACACGTTTTTAAATTTACATATTGATCCAATGTTTAGATTACACTTGAATCCAATCCACCAATCCTTTTGAATCAATCCACCATAACATATTTAGTTTGTACAATACAAGAGGTATCACTCAACTGTAGGAGAAGATTCGACTATTTTATACTTGCTCATTACGTGAAACATTAAATAAATGATAAAAGAGAGACGACTCTAAAATATTGCAAGAGCGAATTCATAAACTCATTTAGTACATTTACGGGGTACTAAATAAACTTCTACTAAGTCCATGTAACAAAATATGCGACATCTATATAAATCGCTACCGTGAAAAGGGTTAACTATTGTATTGACGGCCAACTAAAGAATTGGTCAAAACATTTCCATTATCTACTTCCTTTTCGTTTCATTTTTCACTCGTCTTCCATAACCCTTTCTTTATTTCTTTCTTTGCCTTCTTTGCCTAACCCTAATTAGAATACTATTTTTATGTATTTTAATCACAAGTATGAACGAGTCCATACACGACTCACCAACAGTCTAGAGAATTAATAATTGAACCATGAACCACTAAATTTTTTAGTTCAATGTCGAGTCCAATTAAAAAAAATATATATGGTTATTACTTATTAGAAAGTCGTCATTTTCCACTATGCGATTTGAGGGTGTGAAATTTTAAGCGAGTTCCTGTTTGTATTCCTTTTGCTTCTCTCTAGAGTTTTTCTTTTTCACCCTAGCTAAAATTTTCAACAATAATGTATACATGGAATGTTGGCTAGGTATCTATACATATCAAATAAATAGTTTTCATTTTTCTAGAAAAGGTAAATAATTATTATCTTAAATACATCACCATAAAAGGAATTAAGCCTCAAAATTACAGTTCGATACCTAAACTTATTAGATCTTTAGATTTATAACCTAATTTTTTTTGGCATATAAGTCCTCAAAATATTGATGGAACATTATATTTTAGTACCTAAAATTTTTGTGTATTACATTTTGGTACATAAACTTTTGAACTTCTACAAATAGGTCTAATATTTGTATGTGTAGTTAAAACACCCTCGAATAAATGGGTATCCATACACAGCTTACAATGCTCTATAGCATTGGTGCTATAGGTTTTTGTCTTTATGGTACAACTTGAAGTTGTATATTTAACGTTATGGTACAACTTTAGATTGTACCTATACTTTTTGTACAAATTCTTTTATGGTACAACTTGAACTTGTAATTTTATGTGATGGTACAACTTCAAGTTGTAAAGTTGTACCATAACATAATGATACAAATTCCTTTATGGTACAACCTAAACTTATACATTCAATGTTATGGTACAATTTCAAGTTATACATTAAAGTATCAATACTATATAGCATAGTAGAAGTGCTCCACACACAGCCGCATTAATACACATATATAATCAATTATATCCTCATCCAAACTAGAGCTTGTATAATAAATTACAGTAACAAAGGTGTTCATTCAATAACATCCGCAATTTGTATATTGATAATAACATCAATTAGACTCCTTAAACTGAACCAATTAATAAGTTGATTACCAAAACAACCGTGGGTCCGCCACTGTACTGACCAATCGGGGTTGGGAAAAAGGTAACCGTCAACTACTTTACTTCCGGCAATATAATATATGTGAATGTGCATGCGGCGGGCGGCGGTAGTGCCATTCCCTCCTTCCTTCCAAACGTTGAACTACAAGTACTGATAATATATGATTGATTTGACCCCGGAACTCTGAGTATTATTTAGGGGGTTGCTATTCGTCGCCCTAAAAATTCTTATTTGTCGCCCTAATTATGATAAATTTACTCTAATATCCTTTTTTAATATTTCAAATACTTAAATCCTAAATTAAACACATAACGGACTTAACATCTGAATTGGGTTTTATTATGGCAACAATTATAAAGAATAATAACAAATAAACATATATTATGAAATTTTGCTTCATGTTTCACCAATCAATGTTCCACCATTATTACCAAATGAAGGAAATGAACGTCTACTGGGATTACTGGGGAAAAAGAGGAAATAGCAGTGGGTTAGCTTGCTGGGGGAAACAGGCGGGTCGGCGGGTTGGGGAAAGGCAGCGGCGGAATGAGTTTTATTTATTTGCTTGGACCTTCTTCCTCCTGTTTCTTATTTCTCCTTCCTCAACACCAGCAGCGAGTCGGTGGTTGGGGGAATCGCAGCAGGTCGGTGGGTTGGGGGATGGGAATTGGGAACGATGGTGAGTTTGGGGAACGACAGCGGCGGTCGGAAATCGGCAGATGGGCTGGACGTAGATTAGGAAATAGGAACTAGGGGTATAAATGTCGATTCAATATGGTTTAGGGCGATTTTTTAAAAAATTTAGGGCGACGAATAGCAATTCAGATTATTTACCCTTCCCAATTCCATCCCATCAAGCTTAGCCGGTCAAAAAAATTTATAATTGTTACAAAACAGTCACAAATTTTTAATTTTACACGATTCGATAATAAATGTTTGAACATAAAACAAAACAATTATTTCGTCCTTCTGCATCCAAAAGTCTGTTAATTTGGTCCAGTTAGCACTCCATGTCACCAAAATTATTAATATAAAATTCACTTAATATAGCGATCCAACCCACGCAATGGCCACAATGGTTTTGAAACATGTAACACGATGGTCATAAATCTTTCTTGTCCATAACAAAATGGTCCGTATAATGATCACAATGCATTTAATTGTGTGACAAATTGGGCACAATGGTTGTAACAAAATGGTCACTGTTATGATAGATACATCTTCGTTTTAGAAGAGTTATGGATGTCACATTAAGTGAATCTTTCAAAATTAAACTTAAGTTGAGTTGCTACATTAAGTGAATCTTTTATTAATATTTTAGTGACGTGGAGTGTTAACTGAACCTAATTAACAGAGTTTTGAATGGAGAACGACAAAATGACAGTTTTTGTTATACCCTCATTTGTTTATTAACAAATCGTGCAAAATTAAACGTTTGTGAATGTTTTATACAAAGTGCAAAAATTGTGAACATTTATGCTAATACCCATAACTTCTATCTAACTCATCTCATCGGAGAACACAACACAAAGGAAGATGGTAAAGTTGAATTTTTCATCAGCTAATTTCTTGTTTCTTTTGCAAGCATCTTACACTCTGTTCATAAAGGAGGGAAAGGGGAGGGGAGGGAAAAGGGGAAAGGAAAGCGCACCTTCCAATGAACTTTCTCCCGTTTTTCTAGGGAAGGAACAGTTAAGAGGAAAATGAAAGGAAACTTTACTGTACAAATCTACCCTCCGATCTGGAGAGAAAAGAGTCGGCCGCTTCTCATTTCTTTTGCCCCATTTATTTACTTTTTTTTTATTTCTTTTTTCTTTTGGTAAGTTTCAATAATTTACGGTAACTTACCTATATAATCTACTTCTCCTTTTAGTAAGTGATTTAATTAGTTTCAAAAATAAATAATTGTAGTCCGTAGATGCTTATCGCCTAGCTTTTAAGTTGGAGTGGAACTCCGTTTGTTTTGCGTGGGTTGATGGAAACGGTACTTTGTCCATCTATTTTAATTGTTGTATAATAGAAATCATATTTTTTATTAAATATAAGATAATTATAGTGAGTAATTATGGGACAAAGATTATCTTGAAAATTCATTTTAGGTTATTACAGTGAGAAATCATATTTTATATCCATTTATACTCATACATATGATATTGTTAACGCGATATGTAATACTATTAGGTGACACGTAAAAGTCTGTTACACAAGGTTGTCAACCCAGTTTAGCTCGTCAGTCCGGTCGAGAAAGTGGGTTGAGGATTAATGGTCCGACCGCTTTAGCCCAAATATATGAAAAAAGTCATTATATTGTTCTACATTTATAAATTATATCAAATCTCATCTAAGAAGATATGAGTAATATCATAACATTACACCAAAATAACATGTTGTCTTCTACAACAAAGGTAATACAATTTTAATGGGAATATTTTTAACTAAAATTAAATTGAATTAGATTTTAAAATCAAGTAAAATTTTTTTAATATTGAACCAAATTAGCAAAAAAAATTGATCCACCAATAATAAGTTAGAAAATAATATCACCACATAATTAAATTATTTTACTATTACATAACCAATAAAATAACATATTTATCACACTTCCGAATACAAATCTTCCCTCCTATTTTTCCTTTCACTTTCTTACATAAAACAACATTTTCCCTCTCCTTCAATTTTCCTTTCCCTCCATTTCTCTCCCCCTCCAACTTTCCTTTCTCTCCATTTTCCTCCCTCCCTTCGGAAACAGAGTGTAAGAGTCTAGACAGAGTGTAAGAGTCTAGGGCAGTTCTTTGGGCTGTGACTCGCAATACCGTAATTAGCATCTTTTGACTTTGGGGTCTGGTTGAGTTAAGCTTTAGTTTTTGTTGGGGGTTCTAGGATTGAGTAGGACCTGCAACTTGGCAACTGTGAACTCAAATGGATATGCACAATTAAGCCTACAAGAAACCATTAGATTCAAGACTAGCTACTGTCCGTACAGAACAGAACTGGCCATACAATCTAACTGCGCCACATTTACATCGAAAACCAGCTGATATCTATATATACAGACGCGAAACCATAATAGAGCTAATGATAAAGAGATCTTATTGTCCTGGGAAGATAACCCATGAGGTTGGCTTGGCTGTAAGCTCTGAAAAGGGAAGCAGCTCAGCTAACCTCCCCAATACATCTGTTAGACTGTTACAAGTTTTTCCCATTTTGTCTGAATACAGTGTTGATGACTTCTTTCAGATTCTTGCATCCAACGATTTTCATCCCCTCGAACCCAAAACCAGCCAGCGCCTTTTCGGCAGACTTGGGCACAACGCACATTTGATATCCCAGCTTTGCAACTGTGTTCACCCGCTTCTCGATTCTGGGTACCTGTGCTTTTTCAAGCAGGTGATTACAAGAGGACGTTAGAGAAATGCTGGATACACAAGAGGAAACAAATACTGATGCTTCATGAATTGCTCTCAAAAACTAGTCACCACCTAAACACAGACTCCGTTTGCAAGGTAGTGAATTTCGGGAAGGTCTTTATAGCTCCACATTAAGGTAAGCTACTTAAGAAGACAAGTGCATGCTATTTTCATGCTAGATTATGTATTCTTTGCTGGAGGAACAAAAATGCATCCGAAGAAGGTTACAATTTCACGGGTTATGCCATGCAAACAGTAAACTTACAGTGCGCAGCTCACCACCAAGGCCAACTTCTCCCATAAATGCAACATTATTGGGAATCGGACACTCCAAGAAACTACGAAAAAGAAAACACCATTAATCGTCAGGTTCCCAAGTTGTCGGCAATCATATAGGTAAAAGAGATCCAAGGAATGCTTAGGTGTTATGTTCTTCACATCCAATAATATTCAACATTATGAGATGCCACTTACAAGACCAATAATCAATGCGTGTTCAAAATCAAACATACCTACTGCAGATTGCAACTGCAATGGCAAGATCGCCAGCAGTCTCAGTAAGCTCCGCACCACGAAGAACATTCAAGAATATGGTCTGGTGCAACAAAAACCACAGCAAAGATCAATAACACCACTCGTAAAAATTGTGGACCTGTCTCAGGACAGGGTGAAAAACATTGGTCCGATTTCAAGATGCACATGTATAAAGGGTTTTAATATCATCACTGTTTTACTTATTGTCTGAAAACAACATATGAGTTACTAAACTGATGACTTAATTTCTTTAAATTCTCTGGACTTCATATGTATACCAACTAAAGCATAACATGTACAAGGGAAAACTTCAATTTCTATCCATCCCCCCTTGCTCTCATGCTCAACCAAGTTAGCAACTTCAAAGGGAAAGTGGAATAGGAACACATTTTTAAAGCAACGACACAAGAACATTTACTTATAGCTTACATTCTCTTGAAGTGCCAACCCAGCTTGCTTCACAAGCACCTGTAATTTGAGATTATAGTGAGACATTATAAACATCTCCCAAAAATTGTTAGATAGCATAAGCTCAATTCATCAATTCGAGGGGTACATTCTAAATGATGCACGTTAGCCAGAAACTATGCAGCTCAGTCAAGCAGGAGAAAGAACTGGAAGTACGATTTACAATATGAATACATGATCAGATGTAGACAAATGTAGGACCAAAATTTTGACTCGAGAGAACTAAGAGTGAAAAAGCAGTATTGTCAATGTGACATTTACCCCTATAATCATTTCAGCTCTGCTAGATTGAATCCCAGTAGCATGCCTCCTGGAAGCTGACGAACCAGCAACACATAATGCCTACACCACAATCATTAAAATTATCATAGTGCAATAGATATTATATGTCAATTTTGACAATCAAAGAAATTGCTAGGTCTCTCATAACTAAATCATGCTAATAGAAGCCAGAACAAACATATTGATGACTATACCAAAGAGAACTACCTGAATTTCAATAAGGAAACTTCGAGAGCCATCCATCATTACAGTCACGGCTAGTCCAGCCAAAACATCAGATTCCAAGTGCTGCTCACTTAAGAATATCTCACTTGGATTGGAAACAGCTTGCAAACCCGATTGACACATTTCGAATACCCCCAGCTGAAAGCATGAATGGTGATGATTAACACCATAGTGATGATTGAAAACAGCATAACTTGAACATGATAGTTATTGATCACCAGCAATAGGTAATTCGGGTCATTATGTCAAGCCCCGAGTTAACAAAATACGACAGAATACTCACTAGAAAGAATATTTAAGTAAAAGCAGGTGATAATATCAACAATATTGCACACCTCATCAGTGGACCCAAAACGATTCTTCACCGGCCGGAGTAGACGATGAGACGAGGACTTCTCCCCCTGGTACACAGTGAGGCAAATTTATAATCAACAACAGCATGTAATCACTATTTGAGCAGGAAAGCAAGGTGAACGAAAGAGTTCAGGCATCCGTCTGACCAGTTGCCAATGTTTCTGTGACAGTATAATAAGTGGTCACATGATATTCGACACACATTACTTTCCATCGACCAAACGACTACATTACCAGCTTCAAATCATACACGGTTCTTCCCTCCTCCATTTTTCAACCATGAACAAGAGTAAAAAGGCATATATGATAGAGCAGAAGGTACCAACCTCCACATACAGAACAACATCGACAATGTGCTCCAAGACACGAGGCCCTGCAATTTCCCCAGACTTGGTCACATGTCCGATCTGTAATCGAAAGACAAGAAAAGGGAACATGAATACAAGAAAGTCCCTGTCTAAATGGACTCACAAGAGGAGGTCGCATTTATTTACCAAGATGGAGCACAAACAGTTTCGTATATTGCAAGAGAAAGTATTGGTCAATGCCAAATGTTCGATCTGAGAACGAACATTAAACGCCATTTAATGTAGTAAATTGCAGTGATCCATTACCATTAGATTAACATCTCTTTTTTTTTTTCTGCTTAGCAGCGTTGCAAGTCAAACATGAATTTCAGATAATAACCGAACTTCGTGTCTAGAGCTTCGGGATCTCCAATTATACCTTTCCAGTCTCAAGGCAATTACTTTTTGATATTTCTGTTGAAAGCAAGGTGTTTTATTTTGAAGTATTGGATGTAAGAAAGTCGCTCTATGGAAATTATTAGATAAGGTCCACTAACTTTCAAATCAAGAATAAAGCTGATCTGTAGACCCGGAAAAAAAAAAATGCAATTTTAACACAGTGAGCTTGCTTCCCTTATAGAACCAAGTTCATATGCAATCTAACAACTTAAGCATGGTACATGTAAGGAAAAAGGAAACTCACCAACAGAACTGGGATATCAGTTCTCTTTGCAAACCGCAACAGAGCTGATGTGCATTCCTTGACCTGACAAAACAGAAATTCAATTCTTATCAATGTTGAGGTGAAGCCACCAACAGAGCTAATGTGCATTCCTTGAATACTCATTTGTAGGAAATATGGATTATTTAGGAAGCACCTTGCCATAGCTAGAAATGGAAAAAATAGGAAAAATTACTACACCTATATTAGTGCAATAAAAACTACAACTAGCAAGTATGATAATCTAATCATTTTAAACTCTAACTGGCAGACATTCAGCCCATATTTCAAACCAGTGAAAAGTGTAAGAGCATAAAAGCAGTTCTCACTAAATGTGATCATCCTAAAAAAAAAAATGAACATGATCCTAGTACTGTCCTTGTAAGCACAATAGAACAGAGCCTATTACTTCACTTGTCAGTTTTAAATGTTAGCAATAGTTAGGATTCGTAGACACAATTGTTAGTAAATCCAACCATGAAAGCTTCAACAGATAAAGATAAAGAGCATAATTTGCCAGATAGTAACCTACACTACACATTTGCCAACCTGTGTTAATCCGCCAGGACTTCCGATAACTCCATTAAGGTAAACTGTTTGAATCGAATCAATAATCAAAGCACGAGGAGATAGATTCTGAATTTTCTTCATTATGTCCTGGAAGAAGCAAAAGGAGGAACTTTGAGATCAAATTTTCAAAAGCATATCACAAAGGAATAAGAACAAAGCTGCCTTACACTGAAACAAGTTTGAGAATATTTACCTCAATTTCAGTGCTTGAATACAGGTAAAGGTCCTCTGATCCAATTCCCATACGGTCAGCTCTGTTCCCTATTTGCTGAACACTCTGCAACAACCCGAAAAGGAAAAAGGGTAAATAGAACATGCAACTCATTTTTTGGATCAGTAATTATAAAAATAAAAAATGACGAAAATTTTGCACCAAGATAATACAGATGGAACTCTTTCATGGACAATAAGATCAAAATTATCGTCATATAGAACATAAATATGGCCTTCTGAAGATAAAGCAGAACAATCAGTCATGAGTGCATGCCTTACACTTCACTTTGGCAACTTAGACTAATTATCGAAACTGAAAGCGGTTTTCAGTGTAAACATTAACCTCTTCCCCAGAGACGTAAATAACTGGAGCTGGTTTCCCAAGGCCTTGTCCTTCAGCTATGATTGCAGCTAGCTTCAAGTTCAAAGAAGTTAATGTGAGATTAAACACTTAACAAAAAACTCATATCTACTCAAGTTGAGAGCATTAGATTAACATTTAGATGAATTAGATGAGTAATACCTGCAAGATCAATGTACTCTTTCCAACACCGGGATCCCCACCAACCAAGACCAGAGAACCTACAGTCCATTAAACTCCAGTAAGTATACTACATGTTTCCAAGCTCAGACAGACAATGACTTGAGAGAGCCGTAAAAATGTGGCCATTGGCCAAGAAGCACTATTTTGCTTTCAAAAGTCGATCGGGGATGTTTCAATAAGAAATCATTTAGGATTCATGAGAGAATATCATAATTGGAAAACAGGAGTTCAATCACACAGTCCCATAAGGTCTTTAAGAAAGTAAAAGCAAGACTCCAGGACCAACAATCAAGTATGTACACCACTAGGACAACAAACCCGAAAGAAGCCAATAATAGTCTAATTTAACTCATTGGTGCAACCAAATCTCAACAAACCTGGAACAAGACCCCCACCAAGAACTCTAGACACTTCATCGCCAAAAGGTCCAGGCCTGAACAACAGTAACAAGCAATCTAGCATGGATCATTACAATACAACAGAAGATTCAAACTGCAACAAAAGGAAATCAATTACATGCAACTAACAGAAGTTCAAAAGTTGCAGGATACACCACTACACAATAAGAAGTGATTTCAAAAACAGCACACGAAATGCACATCGACGAAATGTTTGTCAGTAGCTGTAACATATGAAACCAAACAGCGATTGGAGTAAGCTAAAGAACAAGAACAAAAAAAGTTGCAAAAAGATGGCAATTGTGTACTACAGAAGTAGGATGAAAGCTAACTATTCAAGTCTTACGAGCCAACAGCCTTCTTCATCAAACCCAGACAGAAACTCCACCAAATGTAATTTCCAGACTACACCTAGTCATTCAGTAATAGTAAATGGAACAAGAAACAACTGATATTACTTGAATTTCAACCAAAGAATCAGAAGAAACAACAAATGGAGATTATGAACTGACAAAGAAACAGAAAGAAAAGACAGCAACAATAACAACAACAACAACAACAACAACAACAACTCACAGAGGGATCCGCCATTCCAAATGATTCACATCTCTGTTCACGTCTGCCAAACTTACTGGGTTCACCTCTCCAGCCTGTTGAGGCAGCCAAGACTTAACCATATTTTCCGAGGCCACAATGCCACTAACCTTGTCTCCATTGCCACCCCCCGTTTCAGAGAACTTCTTCATCGTCCCAGCACTGTTACAGGAGCGACAATATCCCCACCATTGCCCTTCTGTATTGCCACAGCTCTCACAAACATAACTAGTTCTAACCTTCTCCTTCTTACTTGTGAGTGTATATCCCGACTTCACTCCCCTGACGTAATCCACCTTCTTCCCATTTGCATGTTTGTTCACATTCTCTACAACCCCGCTATCACCAATACAAACAGGAAGTCCCATCCTCGATTTATCTTCGGTGCTCAGATTCCCATTACTCACACTGCCAGCTCTATTTTCCTGCTTTCGAAAACTTGAACTCGATAAACTATCTCGATTATGATCTCGATTTACCACACTCCCATTTACATCCACGAGATGCTTTCCATCAAGCCCACCGCCCGACTTTCCCCCCTTTGCACCTCCGTAAGTTCTATTCCTCTCCAACTCCTCGAGCTCCGAAACATAACCCGAAAACGCAGGTTCCGGTTCGCCATCGTTCCTCTTTACCGGATCGAACCCACCCCTCACCGGATTGTAAACCCTACGGAACTGAGCACTGCCGGAGTCACTTCTGCTCCCGCGCTCTGTTTCAGAAGAATCGAACGCAAACGGGGAGTCTTCAGCTCGGACTCGACTGGTTGAGAAGGGGAATTGAAGAGACAGATATGAGCCCCGTGGTGAAATGAAAGGAATGGAGTCGGTAGACATGCTTGGGTAGCTGAAGCGAATGCCTCTTGGAGAAGGAAATGATCTTAAGCAGTTCATTCTGTAACTGTAGAGTGATCGCAGAAACTTCATGGCCGAGAAATAAGAATGTGCAAAACCCTAACCAGAAGGGTACAGGAGATGTTAGGTTTGCTGCGGAGAACGGAAAACCCCGCGAAGGTCATGAAGGAGAGTGCTTTTTTGAACTTCCCGTAATCTGTGGGATTGGTCGGACTCGGTTCGGACTCCGGAGTAGGAAATAGAAACGGACTAGTTTGCAAAAAGCGTCGAAGTTATGGTTTATGCAAGGTTGTCAACCCTCGCGCGCGGGTCGACCCACTTTCACTCTGATTTGGTGAGAAAAACGGGCCGTACACACTCGCCGGGTCGACCGCTATAAAGTACCGGGTTGAAGGTCAAATTGTGTCATTTTTTTTTGGTTTGCGAAATGCGCATATTTTCCGATTTTTCTTTTCGCCTAACTCAATCTTTGGAATCCTAAGTTGAATATTTGAATATTGATGTATATAAGTGTGTGTGAATTTTCACTTTATGCTAGATCTAAGTACGATATGTTATTTTGGTGTAATATTATATGTTATAACTCATATGTTAGATAAGATTTGATATAATTTATAAGGAAAAGTACAATATAATGACTCTTTCCATATTTCCGGGCCAAACTGGGCTAAAACGGTTGACCCACTAGCTAGACCGGGTCCGGGTCAACCCGCAGGTTGACAACCTTGGGGTTATGGGTTAGGCGGGCTGCAGGCATAATAGGGCTCATAGAGTGCATAACCATAGGTTATGGGTTATGCAACCATCAATAACCAAATCTGAATCAATTATTTAGAAAATCCAGATCTAATGATGGAGAATTAAATGTCATTTTTATTTTTCCTAATTTTCTTAATCGGCTCATATTTTTTTTGTTTTAACTCGAAATTTTTTTTTTTTTGCACAGATGGAACGAGTCCATCGTGCTCTACAAAATGAGATCAATTTTCAATTTTTTTAGAACAAAATTATGGCCTCTCGGTACCAACTGCATACCATATGGTATCTTCTTCATTTTTAATTCGTTTTTGAAAACGTTTGCATAGAAGGGACGAGTTCATCATGATCTATTGGATCTACAAATTTCTGGGTGAACAAATTACCAGACCAAAAAATACCACACAATATCATACAATACCACCCTGGTACGGGGTGGTATCTTGTGGTACACAATGTTAAAAGTCGTAAATGACAGTTAATATACTTCTACTATCATGTATTCAATCATCCTACAGTCTTGGTTTGTTCATACCACCATGATACGCTTTTCAAACCATAGGTATGCTCTTATTTCAATACCAGTCAATACCATATGGTATAGACTGGTAAAAAATGACTCAATTTTTTTTGTTCGAAAAATATATCAAAGTGGATATCATTTTGAAGAGCACAATTAATCTGATCTAACTGGGCAAAAAAATTAAATTTCGACTTAAAACGAGTGAGAAATCGTCCGTCAAAGATTAGGGAGGGGAAATTAAATGCTTTACAAGAAAGAGAGGGACGTTGATGTGATGCTGATGTGAACGGATTACTCGTGGTTACTCATCATAACTCTATAAGATTACTGAACTGATCCGTTCCTAGCATAATAAACCAAAATACTAAACTTTAGGTCTTAAACTGGAGTTTATCTAAAAAACAAGTAGTGAAAAGGAAAGAAACGAAGATTCCAAAAGAAAAGCCAGAACACGGGACGGAGGAGCAATGCCTATTTCCTCCTCGACAGAAAGAAACGGAGGGGGAAAACAGACTGGTTGGTAAGCTTTCAACTTCTTTCCGCCGGCGTCTTTCTTCCGTTTCACTGCTGCGGATTCCGTCCGTTCCAAGCGATCTATTTATCAAAATTCCGAAGGGCCCTGGCAAACAAAGAATTCGCAGATTCGGGAATTATTCAACGGTTTGAGTTATTATCAGAAGAAGATCGGCGATTTGGGTTGATCCGAATTAGATGTCGGCAGACGAGGATGCCGCCGACGCGGTGTTGAGCGACGTCGAGGAGGAAGACGATCCGATTCCAATTGCCATACCGAGTCCGAGCCAAGAAGACGTCTCTGTCGAGAGGTTTCGCGAGCTCGCCGGCGAGCTGGAGCGGGAGCGAGCGCTACGACAGGCTGCCGAGGATTCGAAATCTGAGCTACAGGACAAGTTCCTCCGGTTGAAGTCTCTAGCGCACGAGGCAATCAAGAAGCGAGACGAATGCGCGAAGCAAAGAGACCAAGCTACCAAGGAAAAGGAGGAGGCTCTGGAAGCCAAGGGGAAGATAGCGGAGGAATTGAACCAAACAAAGAAGTTGCAAGATGAGGTAATGAAGCAGAGAGATGAATTCGCTAGGCAGCTCGACGAAGCTGTTAAGGCGAGGGATGGATTTCAATCGGAGATGGAGAATTCACGGCACATGCTGGTAAGTGGCATTGAGAAGATTTCTGGTAAAGTTAGTAGTTTCAAGAATTTTGCAGCGGCTGGGTTGCCGAGATCTCAGAAATACTCTGGATTTCCTGCTGTTGCTTATGGGGTGATTAAGAGGACCAATGAGATAGTTGAGGAGCTTGTTAGGCAGATTGATGCCACGGCGAAATCTAGAAATGAAGCTAGAGAGCAAATGGAGCAAAGGAACTATGAGATTGCCATTGAGGTTTCTCAACTTGAAGCTACTATAGGTAGATTGAGAGAAGAGTTGGAGAAGAAGAGTTCGTCGGTCGAGAGTTTGGAGAAATCCGTTGCGGATAATCATGAGAAGCTGTTAGAAGTTGAGAGGCAGCTATCTGAGAAGACCCAAATGGAGGAGAAGGAAGCTGCGGAGACTAGGCTGCTAGTTAGTGAGTATGATGAGAAACTGAGGAAACTGGAAACTGAGATGGAATCTTTGCGGCCTTTATTGGTTGATCAGTTGAATTTGGTTGGACAAATTCACGATCGGCTTTACGATGTTATTAAGATAGTTAATTCAAATCAGTCAGATTCAGACATATCGGAGTCTTTGTTTCTCCCACAACAAACAGATATGGGGGAGAATCTCCGTGCTTCGGTTGCTGGCATGGAATCGATTCACGAGCTAACTAGAATAGTACTTGAGAAAGCAAAGGACTCGACAGCGGAGAAGATTCATGAAGTGAAGAAGTTGAATGAAACTATTGATCAATTGAATAAAGAGAAAGAACAAATCAGCTCTTTACTAAGAAGTGCTTTGTCCAAGCGGATGGCATCAGACCCAGCTTCTAGAACAAATGAATTATTTCAAGCTGCTGAGAATGGTTTGCGAGATTCTGGAATCGATTTCAAGTTCAATAAGGTCCTTGTGGCTTCTCAAGATAACAATGGCCCACCAAACACGGAGGAGGATGAAATCTACACTCTGGTAATTGTTTGTTTGGTATTAATGTTTTCATATATCCTTAGGAATTCAACTCTTTGATTTATGTACCTGGATGCACTTGAATCTCAGGCTGGAGCCCTGGAGAATATTGTGAAGGCATCCCAGCTTGAGATCATTGAGTTGCAGCATTCAGTGGAGGAATTAAGGTACTCTTGAGCTGCATATAGATAGGGAGGATTTGTTATAGATGATTATCAGCTGGTTTTTTCTGATTATGTTTGCTTTTTCCATTTAAGGGCAGAGTCAAGTTTACTTAAAGAGCATATAGAAGGTCAAGCCAAGGAATTAGCTTATAGACTGCAGAGAATAGAGGAGCTTGAGGAGAAAGAGAGAGTGGCAAATGAAAGTGTAAGTTATGATAGTCGCTTTGATGGTTGAATCTAATGTATTGCTTCATTGGAGCTTCTATGAATACCGGATACTATCTGCTTGATTATACAAATTATGGTGTATAATTGAGAATATTACTATTTTGGTCTTATTACTCATCTCTGCTTGCATATTATAGGTTGAAGGGCTTATGCTGGACATTGCTGCTGCTGAAGAAGAAATTACAAGGTGGAAAGTGGCAGCAGAGGAGGAGGCTGCTGCAGGGAGAACTGTTGAACAAGAGGTCATGGCTCAGGTATGCTTCCCTAACTTTTAGGACATCTGAATCTTACTTCTTGTCCATAAGGACAATAACTACTTTGGTAAAATGTTTGCGATTCATATATGGCATTTTCCCTCTTTCTTAATGAGATAGAAGCACAATATCTAAAATCTGAACGTTTCCAGTAATTATAATTACTGACAAGCGAAGTAACTTGAGTCAGTCAAACCAAACTTTGAGCATGCTTTGAGCATGGATTCTAGGAGTCATTTTGTTGAAGTTGAAGGCGATGTTGGTCTCTGTGGGGTTCAGGGAGCCGAGCGATTCATTTTTTCTTGAAAAGCTGAAACAATTTGCTTCCGATTTGTCTCGGAGTTCCCCCTTTCAGGAACTGAGATATCTGGGGAGTAGAAAATGAAAACAAAAATTTGAGAAGAAAATTGCTTGCATCCGTCTTTTGTCTGTTTAGGGAGCTGAAGGAGTCAAAAACTTTCAACTGTGTCCAATAATATCTTTAACATGAACGCATGTTAATACGAGCACAGGGGGTGCTTGTTTTGATCAAAGTACGCAGCAACAATCAATCAAAGAAGAATCTTGATTGAACGAATAAAACGAACCAAAAATAGATTGTTCTTGGGTGTTTAAGTGTTTTAGATAGAATGGAACCAAACATGCGATTCCGCACCTGGGGAAAGGCTCGATTGGTATAAGGATAGATGCCCGACCACAATTGAAGTGACTATTCAATCGATATAAGAGCTCATGAGCATGAAATCCACCAAACTCAACACAAATACGCAAACTTGCAAAAACCCAAATGTTCAATTTCACTTCATCAACCACTTCAGATTAGTTAGATTGAAAATGCTTTCTTCTTGTGTCTCCGTGATATGGTAAGGCTAAGTCTAACAGTCAGCATACTGTTACTAAAATCATTCTAATCCGCTATCTGTTAATTATATTATCCCCCTTTGTCATGCACATGCAGTTGTCTGTACTGAAGCAGGAGCTTGAAGAGGCAAGGCAGTCCATGTCAGAATCCGAGCAGAAACTGAAGTCCAA